TCTAATCTAAACTACCCCTGGTGCAACTTGAGGCCATTTTCTGTTGTTCTATTGCTTATTACCTGGGAGAAGAGACCTACAGCTTGTAATAAAACTTTGCAACAGAATTTAGAAACAAATCTTCACTATTATCTTAGTGGCTGTCTACTTCTCTGTTGCTTTGTGTATATAGCCAATAGAAGTGGCTGCTCAGCTCTGTTTGTTTTATGATGTGGGTCTCCCCTGGTGTAATCACACTTCGTTTGGCACAGGACTACTGTGCAGCTACTGATGGCTCCAAAAGCTTTGCACTGACAGTAAAAAGACTGAAGGTTCTGTGTTTCATTGCCTGACCTGAGGATCAGACTTAGTGGGGGAACTCTCTTCAAAATACCCTTTAAGAAGTTTGCATGGGATTAAGACTTCGTGTCATCAGTGCAGCATAATTGAGGTTCATAGAATAGCTGGGGTGCCAGCTGGGTGGTGCCTGACTTTGGGGTGCAGGCCTGGGAACAGTGTAATGTGTCCTAGGGAGAAGCAGTGTCTGCCTCAGATCAGAGGGGTTTACCAGAGGCTGGGTGTTACTTCACTGGCAGTTTTTTCCCAATGAGTGACTGTGGCTGTTCTGCCAATGCTGTGGTTTCTGTAGGCCAGCACAGACGATGGCTTTGTGTACTGCCTGGATGCTCGTGCTGAGAAGCCCCTGTTTACTCTGAAGGCTCACGACGGAGAGGTGTCAGGTAAATTGCCTTTGTGTCCTGTTTGTCCCAAGTGGGCAGGGCACATCTGGGAGATGCCTTTAATCCATAGCACTGAGGTGTAGTGATTCCTTGATTAACACGTAAATTGTGCATGCTAATCATGGTAGCTGGCATGTGAAACAAATCTCTGCTGAAGGGATTGGGAGGCAAAATAGGCCTGCATGGTTCCTCTGGCTCTCACTACAGTGGCAGCATGGAACTTTCATTAATGTTCTGCTCCTTTGTTCTGGAATGGAGTTAGTGTAAGGAGAATATTGGGGTCGTTCTCATATCTTCACTTCAAAATGTATCCTAATCTCTGTGAAATGGGGATTGCTTGTTGCTCTCACACTGCTGCACTTTTCATCTTCCAGGGCTACAGCTAAGCAGTCAGATCAAAGGGTGCCTTGTGACATCATCTGCTGACAAATATGTGAAAATTTGGGATATCCTGGGAGACAGACCAAGTTTAGTCCATTCCAGGGATATGAAAATGGTATAGTAATATTTATGTATTGATTCTACTATGTGTGCTTATTCTTTTTCTGTCTAGTTTGAATCTTGTTCTACATAAGGTCTCATAGGGAAAAAAATAGCAACCTATTCTGGGTAAATCATTCTCATCTCAGTGCAGTATTCCACATGGAATTGGAAGCCTGCTTTAAAGCCTCAGAGTCCCAAATTCCAGATACAATGTTCTGTGTAGAATTATGGGTGCTCCAGCTTGCTTCTGCTACATTCAAGACAAAGATGGGATTAACTGTTTATAATTAGCAGCTCTTGACTTTGATTTTATGTCTTTACAAAAGAAGTTTCAGAAACTTAATTTGTTAAAACTTACTTGGTGAAAGTATTTTCAGATGACAAATTCATTTTAAGATTTTAAAAAAAAAAAAAATCTCTTCTTTCTCTCCCACCCTGCCAGGGAGTTCTGTTCTGTGCCGCTTGCTGCCCTGACCTCCCGTTTGTCTTTGCCTTTGGAGGAGAGCGGGAAGGGCTGCGTGTCTGGGATATAAGCAAGATCTCTGCAGGTGAGGTTCTCATTTCTTGGAATCTTGTGGTTCTCCCCTTGCTTGCAAGGTGTATTCAGTAATGTATTGTGACTGACAGAAAACCATAGGGGTTAGTATTTTTGAATACTCCAAGACTGTATGTGTGGTCACATTTTCAGCTTCAAAAACCATTTTTTTTTCCTAAATTGGAGAACTGCTTGACACGATTTACATTCTTGCAGCTAATGTGTAATGCCTTATTTCTTATAATTCTTGTGTTTTGGTTTTTTTCTTGATAGTCTTGATGTGATTTGGTATCATATTTTTTGAGTACTTACAGGAAGAAAAGTAAGGACTGGTTTTGATCACTTGTAGCTACCTGTAACTAAAGAGCATGGGTTTTTTTGGAGAAGGCTTTTAAGAGCCTATTGGGAACCAGAGACTAAAACCAGAAATAAATTATTTAAACATAATGATGTAGTCTTGAAACCTCATCAGTTTTACAGTACTTAGGTACAGAATTATGCAAAGGAAACCTCTAGATGCTCTGGAGGAAAAATAACAGAACTTGTAATTGAAGTATCATAGGCAGGCAATTTTCTTACCTTTATGTTCAACTCTGTACTTGGGGTAAGGGGAAGAGTTTTGAAACCACAGCAGGGTGAGATTTCCATTCTGTGCTGCTCACCAGGCTGTCCCTGCTGTACTCCTTTCTCCTCTGGGACAATAACGTGAGCAATTCCATTTGTGTTGCAGTGAATGAAGTTTTTGGAAACAGAGAGAGGCTCATCCTGGCTAGTGCAAACTCTGTGGCTTCCAGCTCCGCAGCCAGCAGTAGCAGCAATGATTTGGAGACAGCAATGGAATCATGATGGACCAAACATCAAAAAATCAAAGTAATTAATGGGACTACAACTAATGTGTATTCTACAAATGCCCCTGTTCGGTGGAGTTCATGGAAATGACTCTGGTGTCTTGCAATCTGCAGCTTCTTCATCTCAGCCAAAGAAAGGTGGTGGTGTGGTTAAGCTCTAAGCTCCTGCCCTATTACCAGCTCAGAAAGATTGAATCACTTGCCTGATATAATGATCCCTGAAACAGGGGCTACCATATGTAAAGCTGATACATAAAATGGAACAGTCACTAGCAAAGTATTCTGTGATCACAGAAGTTTGTTGAATACTGCAAAGAGAGTTTTATCTTCTACCTTCTAGGAGCATAAGGAAAAATATTTCACACAACAGTTGTGTAATAAATAAACAATTATTGACTTAAATTACAAGTGTAAATAAATAATTTATCCTTAATTTGAGGCTAGGTTTACAGATTTTGAAAGATCTTCCAGGTAACTTTTTAAATCTTAAGAGTACTTCTCAGGCAACAAGTTTGAGTCTTGAAGCAGAATCTTGGAATGTATTTCTAACACTGATATCACCAGTATCAAACCAGAAACAACCCAGCTCTGTCCCACCAGGACGGGGGTTTCTTTTTCCAGGTTCCACAGCACCTGAAGTTTAGTGACACTGCACATAGTACTGGGTTTTTCTTCACACTCCAGATGTATTGCAAGAGAATTTGAACTGAAATAAGGAGCTGCTATTCAAGGAGGATGAGAGGCTGTCAGGACACAAAGTGAGGGTTGGGATCCCAGCTGGTCACTGTTACTGGTGAAAAGCTCTCTCTATTATGTTCTTAACTCTGCTCAGGCATTTCTGCCTGACACCTGAAGGCACAGAAAAGAGTTTTAAGTATCAGTTTAACCACCAACTTAAGCCCCTTGTTTGCAGAATCAGGAACCTAATCAAGGGATGTGACTCAAAGAATTTCCTTACATTATAAATGTAACATCCACCTGCTTTATATCAGGAATGTAATTGATGCTCTTACCTTCCATTGAGCACTTGCCCTCTGCACACACTGAAGGTGCCTTGGAGTGTTCCTGCTGCAAAATACCCTGGGTATTAAATCCACTGATGCAGCTGTAGGATCATACCCACAGCTCCAAGCTCATCCCATTGCTTTTCACCCTAACTCACTATAGTTCATGATGGTGAGGTAAAGCAGGTAAATTGTGTCCCTACAAACTGCAGATGGGGAAAAGGCAGGTCTGTAGTTTTCCTTCCTGTCCCTTGAGGGCAACTGGCTGCTTTAAAGCTACTTCAGCTGTCTGTAGTCTGGTGAAGGTGTTCAGCATGGCTCTGCAGGAACCAAGAATACTCTGGATGTGTTGGGATTCCTGCCTCCATCCTGTTTCTGCCAAGCAGTAGAGAATGATGTGTGGACAACAAATGAACAATTGCTTTTGTGAAGCTTAAGAAAGTGTACGTACCAGAACCACTGCTGTTCAACTGCTCTCCACTGAAAACTTGTAAGTTTTTCAAAGCTTTAATTTTAAATAAATGCTTTTTGACAAGACCTTTGAGGGTAAGTGATTTCTCTTACCTCTATCTCTAGTAATATATGTAGGTCTCAAAGTTGCTTTTTGTTTCTGGAAGAAATTCCATTACTGGAAGCAACACATATTTGCCTGGACTTACCAAGATCCCAGCACCTGTCCCTCTGGAGCTTTTTGGTCACATACTGATCTGAGGCAAGCATTTTCAGGTTTTAAGAACTCTGGGAGCTCTCTAGGCACTGCAGCATACAGGGAGAGGAACAGCTAAGCTTAGGCCATTTAGGGCCCAAAGCAGAGCCTCTTTTCCAAGGGAACCTTCCATTATCTTGTCAGAGAACACAGCACACCTGAATCTTCTTTTGCAGCACAGCCAGAGGAGTGGCACAGCAAATCTAGAGTTCTTTAGCTGCCCAGTTCATGGAAGTGCTCCCTACACATACCATGTCTCAGGAAAGCCTGGGAGAGGCAGATGATCAAAAAGTGGTGTTACATCTCTTAGCATCATTATCAGAAATAGGAACATTCTTTTTCAGTATTATGTAAATGTTTAAAAAGAACATTAGAGAAGAGCCACATTTTTAATTATTTCAAAAGAAACCAACCAAATGTAATAATCTTCATTCCATAAATAATATTAGCAGCAAACCTCCCATCATTCTAGGTGGTAAAAGGTCTACAGCACAAGAAGTAACATATACTGTAAACACTGCCTGATCGTCTGTAAGCCCCTTCCTTACTCAATCCATACAGTCTTATCTCTTCACCTGCTTCCATGGGCTGTCAACTAGAGGGAGAAGAGGGTTCTCCAAAAACCAATGGTTGATTTTCTGTAGTGGGATACTTTGTATGGAAGTGCTGATTTCACTGGCCTTTTTTTTAACCAAAAGGTTTTAAGAAGGAAACCTGAGCACTGAGAAGTCTTTGCCTTATGCCAAACCACATCCTTCAGTTAAAAAGTTCCACCACCATTTTTTCCTTGTTTCTCTTCATGTCACACCTTGGGCAGTTAAGGACAGTTGGCTTACAGGTCACTGCAACCCCTCAGTTACATTTCTGGCTCATGGCTCTTTGCTCGAAGGGCTATGTGAGGTGTGTCATGTGTCCTGGAACTGGATGGATTAATCTGAGTGATTTGGAGAAGTATGCACAGCGTGTGTGGAAGAAATCTTGCCTCACATTTCCTTCTTAGCAACTCTTCGCTTGTACGTGCATGATCCAGTCTTGTTCAGTGTTCTGGCTACAGATTATAGTAAGTGGTGGTAGTGTGGAGACAAAAACAGAAGGAAAATTCCTCACCTGACATACACTGGTGACTGGGGAAACAAGGAAGAGGGTTTTTTTTTCCTTCCCTACTTATAATATCCAAGAAAGTTTCCCTCTCCTTCATTTGTGTCCAGCGAGAACATCACCTGTTGAATAGACTCCATTGTTAATCCTACAGTCTTCAGTCCTCATAGAGTCTATTAATTCCTCCTCTGAATCCTCCTCCTCTTCCTCCTCTGGGGCTGACAGACTGGATGTGGGGCCTTTACATATTTTTAAGTGTCGAGTGAGGTGATATTTGGTTAGATAAGCCTTGGAGCATTTTTCACAGACATAGTCCCTCTTTCCTTCATGTGAATTGAGATGCTTCTTCAGGTGATTAGTCCTCAGAAACAGCTTGTCACACTTGGGGCACTTGATCTGCCTTTCTCTGCAAGACACAAAAAAGTGAGTTTGTTCCTGCCACAAGACAGCTGGTATTAAAATGTTGATTAAGGTCCGTGTTCTAGCAAGGACAGAGATATTGCCCTTGATAAAAAGGTCCATTTCCTTCCCACCCTGCATGAAGGTGAGTGGGGAGGAGGCAGGGAAGAAGTAAGGAAACAAGGCTCCTGCTTGTTAACAACCCTCAGCCTGTAAATGCAGAGGAGCTTACCAGACTGCAACACATTCTGTAATGACACTGCAAAATACCTCCCAGCAGTAGTGCTCCTGGCTCATGCTGTAGGAACAAGCAGCAAAGCGAGTCTGTGTTTCTGTCTGCCTCTCTCTCACTCATTGGCTGTACTACACTGGCTCCTAGACAGCATGACAGAAGCAGCAATGGATTCCAAGTGAGTACAAAAAACAGATGCTGAAAATGAAATAAGCAAAGGGACTAGCTTTGAGCAAGCAGCTTTTAAGGAGGATCTTGGGTTGGGAGTAAATGCACAGGATGGAGAGATTCTCAGAGCAAAAGGCCTGGCCTGGCAGGGGGCTGTGGGTAGGAATTTGCCTACAGGAGGAGCAGGAGAGCAAGCACTTGAGTGAGACCTGCAGGGGGGAAAGGGCTGGGAATGGCTGCAGCACACCCCTACAGCAAACAGGTGGAGTTCACTAACAGGGTACTCGGTGACAATAGCACTGAGCAGTTTGTCTTTTTTGGTCACGATGGGATGTGGAAACAGTTCTCAGCAAATAATGAAATATACATCAAACAACCCCCTTTCTCTTCAAAATGATGAACACTCCAGACTGCCATTTCACAACACAAGGAGCACATTTGGAATTTACTGTGTCATGGAAATATTGCAGACACTTGAACTCCACAACTGCAGCCAGTAGAACAAGGACTTTGTCTAGACTGACTTCTCTGTCATTTCACAGGATGAAACCACCTATGTCCCCCAGGCCAAACTATTTGCAAACTGGAGATTCTGTCTCGTGCTGTTCATCTTCATTATTTCTTGCACTGGCCAGTCCACCAGCTCCTGTGAAGTCACTTACTGTGTGTGAGTGAGGACATGCTGCTTGAGGTCCTGCCTGCGCATGAAGAGCTTCTCGCAGTAATCGCACTTGAGGTTCTTCTCCCCGGTGTGAATGACCATGTGCGACTCCAGGTGCGCCTTCTGCGTGAACGATTTGTCACAGAGGGTGCAGCGATAATTCTTCTGACCTACGAGTACACAAGGACACCCTCACATTGGCACTCCGTGTCCCAAGAAATGCAGTGAGCAAACAAGCCTGACCATTGCTGAAAAATTAAATTTTACTGTGAAGAAAAGCACATTTTTTGTGAACAGGACTTGTTTTCTCCTGCAGTTCTCTCAGACTCAGCATAAAGGCCTACTTGGTTCCAATCTATATTTAGCTATGCAAAAAAACAGACAGCTGACTTCATCATTCCCAAAGCTTTTCATTCCATACTCCATGCCCCCAGTGTCATGATACTGTTTCAAACCAGTGATGCCCTAGTGTGAGGCACCTTGTCTCTCCAGTGCTTGTGGTCAGCCAGCCTTTCTTGTGAGGCAGGGTTTGTGCTTCTTGTTTGTGCCAACCTTTTCTGGATTTCAAAACACCCACAGCAGCTCTGCACATTTTTCCACCAAGAGATTCAGGCAAACACTTAAAAAGACTAGTCTTATCCAATATGAATTCTTCAGTAAAAACAATGGTAGCTTCCTTTGTAACAGTAACCATGGTAACCTTCTAGTTACTGTACATTAGAACATCCCTATCCTCACTGATTTCCCACAGGAATAGTATCTGATGCCTTACTGGAGCCCAACCACATTTGATGCACTGCATTGCCTTTGTCTGCAAAAACAACTTCTCTTATCTAACAAACACAGGTACAAACATCACTGGCCCTTTGATAACTTCTATGTTTTATCCCATTTTTCAACTTATCAGTACTTCTATTATTCTTTGCCAGAAATAGTTTAAAACCCCAGCATGTTACTGAGTTCAGACTAAATTTGAATACCACTTGAATCCCACCCCACTGAGTATTCTGTGGTTGTGCATACAACATTAATATTTCATCAGTCCATTAAAATGCCTGGCTATTGAGCCTACAGCTTCTTATGCTTGACTTGAGAGTACTTCACTGCCAGTTTTATTTCTTTTCTAGCTTTGTAATTAGAATTTTGTGATTTCCCAATAAGGAATAGTGGAAAAACAAAAAGAGGCAAAAATACCCACACCGTCTACTGGCCTGTGACTTGACCTTCACCCTCTCCCCTGTCCTCACAGCAGGCAAAGCCCTCACCTGTGTGGATCTTGAGGTGTGTCCGTAAGTTGCTTGGATCGCTGAAAGCTTTGCTACAGAAATCGCACTTGTGCGGCTTCATGCCCATGTGCCCCATGAAGTGCACGTGCAGCTTGGAAGGGGAGATGAAAGCCTGGGGGCACATGGAGCACTTCCACTTCCTCTCCTTGCCGTGGCCTGGCCCGTGGTTGCTGCTGTGCCCCTGACTGGGGAGGTGGTTGTGAATATGGCTGCTCAAATGGGCCTTGAAGTCCGCATAGGAAGCGCATTCCTTCCCACAGTGGCAGATGTGCACATCTGGATGCTCAGGGACACCTTTGGGCACAAAAACATCACTTGTAACGAGGCACAGTAAAGCATAACAGAGCTTGAAGAAGGACCCCTTTAACATTCAGTCTGGTAGCGAAAAGCCAGGTGCAGAGATTTTCACCTTTGTTCTTTTCAGCTTCAGTGTTGCTTTCCAGCTGTTTCAGGTAGGTCATTTTAAATGTTTTGAGGGGCCAAACTTTGGAACAGCTCACCCAAATCTAAATTATCACAATCCAAGCTGGGGGAGGATAGGAACATCTTCAGCTCCAAAACTCCCTTAGCCCTGAATGAACTGAACTAATACTATTTTTCTTCCAAAAAACAAAATCTTAAAAATCTTTTACTCCTGATCAGTGGAATTAAGTAGGGAAATGTTACTTTTAAATTACGGTGAAATGTTAAAGGAAACTATGACATGCAGCAATGGGAACTGAGAAGGAACACAATGCAGTCCCAAGTCACAGAGCCCAGAGATGGCACTGAAAGAGAATTCAAGCTGGATACTCCCTGAAAAGCCAACAAGAAAGAGCTCTTACTTACCAAGCTGTCGTGCATAGTCCCGACTGTAATAGAAGAGAAGCTCGTGTTCAGGGGGGATGTCCCGAGAGGTGCAGAAGTAAATTTTTCCATCATGAGGATAAGCTACCAGATTCTGCTCTTCCCGGTTCCTACAGCAATAACAACAGTCAAGAAAAAAAGCCCTTCAGAAGTAATGGGAGAGGAGAGGAGAGGAGAGGAGAGGAGAGGAGAGGAGAATGGAAAAGAAAAAAGGAAGGGAAAAGGGAAAAGGAGCGATTCCTATAAAAAGGCAATAGGAACATCAGCACTTGTCAGCATATTATAAAAACTTGTCTGTCTGTCACTTCTGTCCTTCTTTATTAAAGGAAAGAAAAACTAGACCTTGAGAGCCCATCTCCTCCACCAAATGATGTGTTTCTCAACACTTCTGAGAAAATTATTAATAGACATTTGAGTGGGCTGAAAGAAGTGAGTTTATTATCTCCTAAGAAACTACAAAAACCTATATATTTTTCATACACATAGATTCATTTGCATAGATATATCCCTTAAGAAACAGAGAATGCATGATGAAAAAAATACCAGTCATGCCTTGAAGCAAAATTATCTTTAAAAAGTCCTCTTGAGGACCAGTTCCAAGATGTGGTCATTCATCTTTTGAAGTAGTATCTTGCATATGTTTGTCCACCGTATCTGAAACCAGCAAAAGGTCTGCCCCACTGCAGTGGGAGATTAAACATTACAGTGCTTGACTCCTGCATATGGGAACAATGAAATGAACTGCAGGAGAAACCTACTTTGTGTCACAGAGAAATAAGAAAGGTTCAGCCTTCTCAGTGGACCATGGATGGAGCAATACTTAGGCCAGCCTGGATAGTTTTCATCAGAGACTGAAAGGGACAGGTCTCACAAACTGTAGGGGCTCGGAACGTGGCCAAAAGAACTCAGAGACACTTGGTAAATAAAGTATAAAAATCAAAAGGACAATCAAGGTCAACTTAAGTTGAATGAAGGTCAACCTTCATTCTCCAGTACAGCTTTCTACAAGCCTGCAGCTCACACTCAAAGCTCCTTAGCACAGTCCAGGTGGCTCTCACCTGGCTTTGCGTACGAACATCATCCAGTTGCATTCATTTTCATCAGTTGTGACAACACAGAACTCCAGGACACCGTTGTGATAGATCTACCAGGAAAGACAAATGTAACCTTAGGACAAAACATGGCAATAAATTAAGTAAAACCCAGCCTCTTTCTTTAAGAGAGGATATGTTTACCTAGAACAAGCCAGGAAGTCTCCATTGCCACTGCCAACACCACAGCCCTGTTTTCACTCCTTACTTTCCTCTTCACACAGGCACCTTGACCTCTGCTACCCAGGAGGCCAGAAAACCTGTTTATCAGCATCTTGCTCACCTTTACCTTCCAGCAGAAAGGCATTTGGCTACATTTCTTACAAAGTCTTGTGAAATAACAAAATCTGGGCAAACAGTACATGTTTTATTTATATAGGTCAGATTTACTTTCTGAAAATGAAATGATGGGGAAAGAAAGCTTTAAATTTGCTTTCCTAAAACAAACCATTCATCACCTGGGGGAGCTTTCAATGAACAGAGACATAAACAAACAACTGCTGCCTAGTAATTCATGCACAATCTCTGCGGCAACTCCACACAAACACTGAAACCACATACAGCCCTTTAAAACAGAAGACATTAAAGAAGCTTTTTGTGCTTCAGCACTGACTACCAGCATACTGCAAGGTATAAGCTCTGCTGTGCTGATACTAAGAATTAAACTATTAAACTGCATTACTTTTGACTTTTGGCAAAGATGATAATGTTAATGTAGCTGTTATGTGGTAGCTTTCACCAGAAAAAGGCATGCTGTGCAGGCAGGCTCTGTGCCCTGTAACACCACTGACCTTCCAGATGTGACTGGCTGCTTTGTCTGTCCAGTCAGCCACCTCCAGAGAATGGCTCTGCTGCCCGATCAAAGGTCCGAAACAAGTCCTCACAGGAATGGTTTCTCGTGTCCACACACCTATCATTAGAAGACCAAAATCTGAATAAATAATTATTTAAATAACTAATCATGCCTAATAAAGAAGTGGGAGGTTTATGAGATAATGCTCCAGAGGTAGTATCTATGCATAAGATCATCAAAGCATCTACTTCACATGTGAAACACACCTAGGGCAGAAACAAGAGCCAGCACCACCACATGACACTAATGGGAGCCGCTTTGGTGTCATCACAAGTATTTATTTGGTCAAAAGCAAATAATTTACTTTTCCATAAGCTATAAAACTAATATCCTAGCCACTTGTACCAATTAAAGTTCTCATGGCACTTTCTGCAGAAGCAGAAAATACTAGTTTCAGTAACTACATTTTGCCTACCTAATCCCCAGGAATTTCCAGAACTGTTGCTGGGCATTGTTAAGCAGCTTCTGCATTTCTCCCCAGAGGCAGCTGTATTTCTGTCATGGGCAGAGGGATTCCTGCATGTATATTATTTATTATTAAACATTTATATATATATATAAATATATATATATAGGTCTACATGAATACACTGAATAGCTCTTAGGAATAAACTGGAAACTAGTGCAGCTTGAAAAGAACAGATGTCATCTACTCTCAACAAGCAGCAACACTAAGCAAGCCAATAATCACATTCTTCTCTAGCCTTCAGATCCTTAGGGTACTGCACTGTACTCTTCGATTTCCAGGTGACAGTGACGTGAAATACAGTAACAAGGTCCACATCCAATGACAAGGTCACAGTCTACATGCCAAATGTAAATGAAGGGGGGGTGGGAAAAACAGAAGCACTTGTGATCAATACTCCAATGAGAGCACCCAGAAGACAGCAAAGCTCATGAACAAGTAAACAGAATTCTCCTTTATGACTTCTAATTGTCAGCTTCCCCCAAACTGCAATTGCTGTATTGTTTTCTTATCAAAGCAGTGCCTGGGCTGTTTAGCATGATAAAAAAACACCATAGCTTGCTTGACCTTAAGCAGTGCCACACTCTGTGGCAGCAGCCCTACGGTAACCAGACCACAAGGAGCTCGTGGATAATATAAGTCAGGGTGATTACAGAAGAGGGAAGCATCTCTCTCTCGTGGTGTTCCTTTCCCACATTAATCTCCCTACGGTTTTGGATTTCAGCAGTGAGTGTACTTTAAAGTGCTGCAGGGAAGTGCACAGTAATGCGATCCTTACCCGCTTCAGCTCCCATGAGAGACTGGCGGAGGAGCAGCTGCTTCGGGAGGGACAGCCTGGCTCGGCTCTCGATCGGGCTGTCGGGGACAAAGGTGACAGGCCCATGGTCCGGGCAGTCCGATGGATACGCCTTGTCACACAGCGTGCACCCTGCACAGACAGGAGGGGACAGCAGGCATTAAAAACATACAACAGCTCCTACAGCGCAATCAGCTCCCTACAATGTGCTTCAGCTCAGCTCCTGCCAAAGGCTGCTTCTGTCACCTTCAACTTGTCCACTTACCAGCTTTTACTCAGAAGAATATGGACCATGTTCTTACAGTCAGGTGGGCACTGACACACATGTCAGTTTCTATCCAATTCAGATAAAATGTGAGGATCTCTACCTACTTTCCTGATGGCAAATTGATGACCTGGACTCCAGATTATCCCTACAGGGGAATCTAGCAATGGGACACAGCCCATTCTTCATCAAAGCTACTGCAAATTGAATGATAGCCGCCCCAGAGCTGGTGGTGGAAGAGCCAATTTCACTCTGATTACAAGTGAAATGAACTCTACTGGCAGAAAAAATCGAAGATAAACAAAATCAAACATATTCCAACTGGTTATATTTTTTTAATTAAGCAGAAACACTTCTTGCATGTAGAACCTCAAGGATATCCATGCAAATGAACCAGTAAGGACGTCCTTCTAAAATTTTCCGAACATGAACCACAAATCCCCTAACCTCCATTTAAATTCAGACAATGTGTAAATCACAGCAGCAAAAACCTGACCTCACTGCTGCTTTTGAAGGTCTCACTGCAGCAAACTCATGCAGGGTGAGTATGCCACTGAATGCAACAAAAACAAATGCCCAAGAAGAATCCGTAGCATCACTTTCCTAATCTGCCATTCAGCAGAAGTACTGTTATAAAAGAAACCAGTGAAAGTCTTCAGTCTAATAAACCTGAGGGAAAGTACAGCATAAAATGCTCTCTATAGCATTACAATTTCATCTAGACAAATGATGTCATTTTAATTCTCTGTGGATGGAGCAACCAACAGCTACTCAGCAACCACTCTCCGGATAAATAATTATTCTTCTGAAGAAGAAAGATATTCAGGTAATTAATTGGGATGCCCAGAAAGACCTTCTTTGGCCTCTTGATGACCCAGCTCCAGTATAAAAGACCTATCACAGAAGTAGCCTTCAGCAGGCCCAAACAGCAGCTCCATCCTAACATGTTTTAGAATATTTTCCAGATATTTCCTTGATATACCAAGCTACCAGAATTTGACCTCATATAAAATACAGTCTGAGCAACTACACATGAACAGATAGGAAAGTAGTCCAAAAATTATTAGGTAGAGCCTATGTAAGCATTATTTCATGTGCACAGGTGACATATAGGAGTAAAGCAGCAACAACAGCGAGACCTGAGTAATGAGAACCACGTGTGGAACAGCTGCTTTTAAGCATTGCCTGGCACACACCCACTATGGATCTATGGACTTGCTCCAAGGAGAGGCAGAGGAAGAGAAGATCTAGGCGTGGGACTTTTCCACTTGGAGAAGTTCAACCATTCATACATTTTTAAGATGTTGGAAAACAAAAAATCTCACATTCCATAGAAAGATAAATATACTTTCCATTACTGTCCTTGCCAAATCATCAAAAAAAAAAAAAAGAAAATCAGTAATTATTTCTCTGATTTGGATCCCCAGAACTTCAACAAAGATGAGTAAAAAAACCACTTCTTAAAAGTGTTTGCAAACATTCAGGACTGTAGCAAAGGCACACTTTTTATTTACTGCTTAGGAACAGTAAAAAGTTTTCTGAAAAAGGCCCTGACTCCCGCCATCTGAGTGAGGAAAAACCACTAAGGGGATCTAAAACAACTCCTTGTCCTTGCTGTCACCTGTCTGGACACAGATTCCTATTAATTCAGGTGAAGTTTAAAAACATCAACAAAAAGTTAAAATTTAAACCTTTCCAAGTCAAGAATCTGTTTTGCAAATCACATGCAAGCACAAGGCATGCAACAGCCATTTTAATGTCCTACCAAAAGGGAGCATCGTCTGGAAAACAGCTTAGGACTATGCTAACTATAACAACAGAAAGCTGGCACATCAAATCTCACTTTTAAGAGAATAAGAAAAGTTATTTCAACGCAAGCATGTTGGATATCACAGTACTTGGATCATTATTTGTTCAACATGCAACAGATGCTTGTAGGAACCTCTGAATGCATCGACTGCAAAACTCTTCCTCTAGGAGCTGTAAATTCACCATAGTTCTATGCCCACCTGATTTGAAGCTGTATTTTATCCCACAGAATGAAATCTTAACAAATTAATCCAAATGTCTGACTGACTAGACTTTAGGTACTTTACACTAAACTGTACCTCTCCCCTTCCTAACCAAGGCACTGTATCTTCCAATTTCTTAAAATACCTTCTGCAGGCAAAGCAAGCCATTAGGTTCTGGCAGTTGTAGGGCCAGACTGGATGAAGAGCAAAACTCAGCAATGCTACCACAGACAATAAAAATGGATATAAAAGCTGGCCTTATGTTTCAGTGGCAGGAAGCCAGACATCCTGCAGGTGAAAGTGTAAATCTCTCTCCCAGCAAATGAGAACTTCTCAGTTCTCAAAGACCACTCCTTGAACAATAACAGGACTGACAATACAATACCGAGTGCTCCTCTCTTCCTGTGACATCCACTAAGCTCTGGACTAAAGTCCTTTGATGAGACTAATTAAAAATATTATAAATTTGCTTCCTTCTGCTCTTTTTTTCCTATTTAGAACAACACTTTCATGATGATTGCTCATGGTTTAATGTAAGTTTTACAAAATCATGTAACGTCATACTCAACAATTACACCCATTTGATGAAAAGTATGGCCTGTTGTGTTTGTTGTGTATTTTTAATGGAGCAAGAAGAGTCACTTGTGATGTGACTTTATAAAAACAGAAGTCTCATCAGAAAGGATAACAAGCATATCCACTGAATCAAGAGCTTCACCAAGATTCAGCTTCCAACCTCACGGCAACATGAAAATGATACAAAGAGAATTATGCTAAAACATCCTACTACATCTCCTACTACTTCCAGCTACTGTTGTTTCAGAACAGTTAATCTGGCACTGCAAATGTTTCAAATTTTGGACTTGTTAAATAACCATAAATCTGTAAGACTAGCAACCAGAGTTCAGCCACACCAGGCAATAGCTATATGACAAACCCTACCCCAGAAAAGCAGGAAATGTCCACTCACATATGGTAAACAAAGTTGCCATGTTCTCTTTGTTGGAATTAGAGTCTTCCATTTGTAGAGATGATGGTACAAAGGCAAGATTGTCTGCAGACACATCGACATGGCTTGGCCCCATGGCTACTTCCTGACTTATGGAAGACACTGCCACGGGCTCCAGGCTGAGGCCCACTTCATGCAAGGCTACTGAGTCCAGGGAAGCGAGGTTGTGTGAGGTAGGGAGCGCCACACTCACGGAGTTGGTGCTCATGGCCACAGTATGAATGGGGTCATTTAGTGTGCTGTCCGATATCCCTGTCACCCGCCCGGCAATGTGGTCAGGCTCCATGACAACAGGGAGTTCCAAAGTGCTACCGTGAATGGGAATGACACCGCCGTGCCCCACAGCGTCTGATGGCAAGTTACTCCCCACTGTGTCCACGGCTAAAGGTTCGTGGCTCCGGGAGCCATTCGGGATCTGCGTGTGATCCCCGGCTACATCATCCATTGTAAGCTCCTCTGCCATCCCATCTGTAGAGATGGGGCTGGTTACCCTGGAAACGCTTTCCATGGTGATTGTAGTATCCAGTGCTACCTCGTGGCTGTCACTAGGATGCAGATTTTGAGGACCGTGTGTGTTCACCGTGCGGGAGTCCATGGAGACAATCCCTGGTTCCAGCCCCACGGTCCCACTGGGCTGGTAGGGATCCAGGGCTGAGGGATTGCTGGAGACTGACAATGCTGGATTGCTGTCAACATTTATAGTGTTGGGATGGATGTACTGAGGTGGTGGTCTGTCAGCCAAGTAAGATAAGATACCTGATAGAAAGAGAGGGAGAAAAAGAAGAGAGTGAGATTAGATCAGTTTTTAAATCTTGAACAAAAATCTGTTGAAGGATAGACACTGAAATCCTTGAAGACATGTTCTCTACACTATTTCCAATTAAAATCCACTAATTCTAAAACATGGCTCACAAACACATGCCAGTCTAGCCCTCTTGTCAAAGTACCACTTGACAACTAATTCAGAGTTTCCACCCAATAGAACAAGTCTCCAGTTATTTCTCAAACTCTGAACACCCAAGATAATGGCAGAATTCCACCTAGGCTGCTCAGTACAAAGATCGAATGAGAAAGAGGTTCTTCACATTTTAGGCTTAATTTTTTATTCCCAAAAAATAGCTCACAAGGATGAAGGAGTGCTAGTGGAACCTATAATTTGGTAATTCCTGGTTCATCTTTGCTAGAAACAGAAACAATTCTCCAGGCCACATAATTTTTGCTGAGGTATTCAAGTTTTAACAATGACGGCTTCCTTCCTCTAAGACCAAGTGGCATAACTGTCCATCTCAGAGGTCATCAACTGCAGCTCTGAAGGACAAACACAAGCTCTCTCTCAGATTTCATGAGTCATGTGCTCTCTTTTCTAACATGAATGCATGTTGTTTCTCCTAAAACATAGTTTGGTTGAATTTAAATCAGAAACACCACCATCTCTTCTGGTAGTTCTGGGAAGGTTCTCAACATCAAACAACCTTGAAACTTAAGATAGGAAGAAACACTGAACTGTGTTTACATACTAAAAACAAACAAACAAAAATCTTCCAAAAAATGCAACAGCACATTCAAGTAAACATTATTTCCAGCAGAGACAGGCAGATTTTGCAGATTCTGAAAGATCTGACTCAGCATATTTCTTTTTAGCCTTCAAGTCCATGAGCCACTCGTTCCATAAGAGTTTTCCATTCAAACATGTTTGTTATTACAAGGATGCCAACACAGATACTCTTTCTGCAGCACAACAAGCCAAGAAATGAACAGCTTAATCAGCTGCATCAAATATTCCTGCATGCAATGCTCCCTTGTGGCTTGAACACAGAGGATCCTTGATGACAGCAAGATGACTGACAGAAGAACTGTATAAAACATCACAGGAAGATTATTCCAGCTCAGAAAATGGCAAATACCTTTGGTCCTAGTGCACAGTTTCCTTCTCTACTCTTTGGCCACTGAACAGGCAGACATGCAGTGCAGTAGGAAAGGTTACTCCTAAGCAGCTGGGAAGTTCAGCCATCAGTCAACAGGCAGCTGTGCAAGACCTAGGCCACTAGCTTATTCCTAACCCAGGCTGAACCAACAACACTCAGAGAGTCACCTTGAAGAAGTTTAACTATCTGTCTGTTCCACCCTGTCAATCTTAGCTACCAAATAAAACCAGGACTGCATTTAAAGTTTCAATGTCTGTGTTTTCATATACTAACATGTAAAATTCTACATTTATACTCCAAAGCGTGTGTGAGAAAGGAATCAAGACAGAAGTCAGTGTGTTAGGCCTTTGGAAATCAACCTTGAAGAAAAATGAAGAAAAAATGTGCCATGGGTTGAATGGGTGGGAAAGTGCCCAACGCCACAGCTGATGTCTTGCCCTCTTTGAGCTTTGAACTACTGTAACCTCCCATTATGCACATATTCAATATTGCTTCAGACTACAGGAGAAGAAAAACAGAAGCAACTTCCATGCTACAAGCCATTGAAGACAGAAACCAGGCATGCTTTGTTTTCTATTAATCCTAAAATCAAAGCAGGAAGAGCAATCAAAGGTCAGGTTTAAATAGAAAATGCCCTGCAATTCTTTTCATACACAAATATAGCAACAGATATCTGAAAATAAAGGTGTGTAAATGGCACAACAGTCTCCAGACAAACTCAGGGAAACAATAGCTCTGTCAAACTGTCAGTCATGCCTGCTTTAGGACAAAAACAGACAGCTCTTAAAACAGTTTCTCTTACTGTTCCCATGCATCAGCACCAGAGCACTTACCAGGTAGAATGTGTCTGAAATAGCTGCTCTCCAGGTGAGGGTATGGTGGTGGAGGTAGGGTGTAGTTTCTCTCTGGTATACCACACATCACTCCTCGATCCCCAATACCCATTGGGAGCATCAGAGACAGAGCAGAGGGCAAGGAACTCAAGGAGGGGCCCAGGTTTGGAATTGCAACAGGCAGGCCTGCAAGAGAAAATGCCCATTTAAATTCAACAGAACTCCCTGAGCTGATGAACACATGAGCTAACAAAGAGATTACTAATTCCCCAGGAGCTCTTGCCCTACGGAAATATAGCATGGCACGGTCCAAGTAAGGTGCCAGGCATCAAAGAAAAGATCCATTATCACAGAAGTGAGAGGCATGCCTGAATATGGCTTTTTTTTGGTACATTTTATAGGGCTTGCTTCTATTTGACAATTGTAATGGACTTCTATCTGTGCAGGCCCTTGGAAAGAAGAGCTATGAAAACAGTTTTGCTATACAAGTGATTTTTCACCTGAGAGAAATTAGACATAGATAAAGAGAGATTTTCAGCTACAGCCCTAGTTTCAATGGATTATGACACTACTCACCCACAGTGCAAATCACCGCATTAAAACCAAACAAGGCTCCCACCAAAGCATAAGCCTGACAAGCACTTGTGCCTTTTGCTTTGCCCACATAAGCAACAATTTATGGTTTCCCCCGCCTTTTTTTGGTACATTTTATAGGGCTTGCTTCTATTTGACAATTGTAATGGACTTCTATCTGTGCAGGCCCTTGGAAAGAAGAGCTATGAAAACAGTTTTGCTATACAAGTGATTTTTCACCTGAGAGAGATTAGACATAGATAAAGAGAGCCCTAATTTCAATGGATTATGACACTACTCACCCACAGTGCAAATCACCGCATTAAAACCAAACAAGGCTCCCACCAAAGCATAAGCCTGACAAGCACTTGTGCCTTTTGCTTTGCCCACATAAGCAACAATTTATGGTTTCCCCCGCCCCAGCTCTGCACCATTTCAGCACCTACAGTATGACCTGCTGTCAGAGCAGGCACTGCTGCCCAGTCAGGACCATTGCTGTGGCAGCAGAACACAGAGCAGGAGCTGCAATACCCCGCTGTGGGACCCTCCCCCATTACCTGGTGCTGGTATGGCGTTGTGAGTGGGTGATGCTGCCAAGCCCAAGTGACCTCCTGAGACTGGCAGGGCATTGCTCACAGAGGAGGAAGTCAGCTGGTCCATCCCTACAGGACTCAAGTTAATTTCATTCATTCTGCAGACAAGGAACATAGAGGGGAGCAGGAAAAAGAAACAGAATGCAAAATCATTCCTGATTACTGACTGTACTGCGGGGAGGAAAGGTTGAGCAAACAAACTCAAAATCTGATATTGGCATGTAAAAACTGCCTTAAAAAGCTATGCATAAAACACATCAGCCACTCACATGGTCACCACATCATGATCAATACATAGTGATCACATTAGATAGCAATAATCAGGAAAAAAAAACAGTTCAGAAGGACAAATCAGACCACGGCTTCTTCCTTGCCATCCAGAAAACAAAGTCTTACTCTTAGCAATAAAAGCCATTGTGATTAAACTATTGTGAAAACAGATCCATTTACAAGTTGAATGTCAAAAATACTCAGACAACAGCACCTGATTTATATTCCATGACTTCTGGACACCACATCCACATTCAAAATCCAAATTGTGCAAGAAAGATCACTTCAAACTGGTAACAGACACACAACCTCTAATTCCCCACCAGTTCAAACCAGTGACAAGAGCTACCACTGCAAAACAGCCATAGCAGCTTTAAAAGACTGCCTCAGTGACATTAGATAGCAATAATCAGGATAAAAAAACAGTTCAGAAGGACAAATCAGACCATGGCTTCTTTCTTGCCATCCAGAAAACAAAGTCTTACTCCTAGTAACAAAAGCCACTGTGATTAAACTATTGTGAAAACTGATCCATTTACAAGATGAATGTCAGAATTACTCAGACAACAGCACCTGATTTATATTCCATGACTTCTGGACACCACATCCACATTCAAAATCCAAATTCTGCAAGAAAGATCACTTCAAACTGGTAACAGACACACAACCTCTAATTCCCCACCAGTTCAAACCAGTGACAAGAGTCACCACTGCAAAACAACTATAGCAGCTTTAAAAGACTGCCTCAGTCTGGTTCTACGTGCTTCCATCACATTAAAAACTGGCACCACGGATTCCATGTTATTTCAGTGATCAGTCGTGCACACCGCTCCAGTGGGCACACACCACATGAGCACCTGCAGGAACCGCCCAACACTCCAAACCTTCAGCCTTGGTAGAAACCATGTCAGCTCGGAGCACGTATGTCCTCTGGGGTCTCAAGCTGCACATGCAGCCCAAACCAGTCCGCAGGGATGGGGTCACCATGAAGACATGGTCTACTCACACTTGTCAAACTCTGCAAGCCGTGCCTGACCCACGCTGTGCCCACACACCAGGTGTGACCAGCAGCTCTCAGGGCAGCCAGAGCAGCGGCCCCCAGAGCAGCCACACGCTCCCGGCTGACCCAGGCCTCCGGCACGGCAGCAGGCCCAAAGGCTGCAGTACTGATGGAGAGCTGCAGCTTGGGCTGCCACACCGGTAAGGAAAGGTACCACTCATTCAGGAGAAGCGCCGAATCCACCAAACTCACGCAAGTTAACAACACAAGGTCTCAGCTCGGAGGGGACCCGTAAGGAACACCGAGCCCACCCGCAGCGGCTCGCAGAGCACCTGCCACCGGCGGGCTGCCTTCCATCCCGGCTCTGCCTTCCGCCCCGGCTCTGCCCACCTTCGGCCCCACGCACTGCCTGCCGCCCCGCCCGCCGCCACGGACGGCTCTGCAGGGACGGGGCCGAGGGCTCCGCCTGCCCGGCGGGGCAGGGCATTTCATCCCCGGCTCAGGCGGCTGCTGAGGATGGCGATGCCCGAGGGAGGGAACCACCACCCTCGCCCCGGAGCCGAGCCTCGGGGCCTGCGGGAGGCGCCGAACGCTTGAGGGATCCCCTCCCCTGCTCGCCCTCTCGGGCGGGTGCGCCCCGCGGTCCCGCCCGCCTCGCCCGGTGCCCCGCGGCGCTCACCTGGGGTGCATGGGGCCCGCCGGCGGAGCGCCCGCAGCCGCATCAGGGCCCTGCGCCCCGGCCCGCCGCCTGGCGGGGGAGGCGGAGGGAGGCGGGGATGGCGAGGGAGGGGGCCGGGGCCGCTTCCGCCGGCGAGTGCCGGAGCCAGGAAGCGGCGGCACCGCCCCGGGCCCGGCCGCTCCCCGCCCGGCCCGCGGCAGCGCCTGGCCCGAAACCCTGCCCAGGCTTCCCGTGCCGCCTCTTCCTCAGGGTGCGGTGCTTACTCCGGTTTTCCACACAGTATTCCCACACAGTATTCCCACACAGTATTCCCAGCTATCTCACTGCTTCCTCATTACACCCTCGTATCTGCTGTCATTAGAGGGCTGCGTTTTTTGTCCTCCGGTGCCATCAGCCCGTACGCGCCCAGCTGCCTCCTGGACATCGTCGTTCAATTACGGCTGATCACATGTGCAATTCTGGCTAAGGTGACACGGCAAAGGAGTCTCTTTGGTGTGTGCAAGCGGTTTTGTAGCTCGCCTGTCGCCTGCGGCACGTGGATAGGCATCATGTACGCTGCCCGGATCAATCGCCGCGTTCCTTCGGTGCCGGGGCGAGCAGCTGTCTCCTGGACCGCCGGGGTGGGATTGGCAATCCGCTCGTGCCTGACGCTCAAGGGATGCCTCGTTAAATGAGCCGTCCCTCGATAGGATGTCTGCACGGGAAGAAAGTCAAAGTCTGTTCTCTTTTGATCTAAAGAACCTAAATGTAGGATCTGTAAGGATCATTCCGTGATCTAAAGAGCCTAAATGCAGAGGTCGTTTTAGTTCAGTACAAACTATTGATTCTTCTGGGGGTGGAAACAGACTCTCCTCCTTTGGCTTTGTCAGAAAGTTGAATGCCTCATATACACTTGTTTTTCAAGCTCTCTCTGTAGCTGAAGGAGAGAAATAGTTTGCTGCAGAGACTGCTTCATCTCCTGAAGTAGGTGTCTGAGATGTGAGAATTCCCTTTGGAGTTGCCTTTCTGTGTCTATGGCCTGAAACTTGCACCTGCATAATGGGTTTAGTCTAAATATCTAACATCTAAAAGAGTACATTTAAGCAAAGTCAAGGTCTCTGTCATTCATGACCAAAAAGAATGACCTTATTTAGTTTACCATATATCCCACAACCTCTCCTCCACCAAGCCAAATAATCCTTACCCTAACCATGACTGACTGATTATCCAAATTGGCCCACAAACATTATTTCAGCAAGCCAAAAAAGAACTCACCAAGTCTTCAGGTTGTTTTGGACTGCTAATCCTGTGATGGGGGCTTTAGGTCTGTTTCAATTTTGTGTGTGTAGTCCCACATATTCATATGTTGGTGCTAATACTTCACATTTTTCTTAGAACCTGCAGTGAAGCCCAAAAGTCTCTCTCTTCACTTTGCATTCCCTAATAGGAGATGACAGGAGACCTTCCATTTTCAGTTTTCATCCTTAAAACTTCACGGTCACACTCAGTACATCTCAGTTCTGTCCTGAAATGCTAGGTTATCCCAAGCCCTCAGCTTGTCTTAATTGCAATTATGACACTGTAATTCTACAACAGAAGTGCCCAGGCACTGAAATATTTGCGATATTTCTATCTAACTATTCTATCTTTCTATTTCTATCTAACTATCTAAGCTGAAAGCAATACTTCGAGCCTGTGAGCCAGATTTGATGTAGTCATACATAAATAAGAGTATTTTTCCTACTGTCAGGCAGGAGTCCTCTGAGATTCCACCTTTTTTTGTAGTCACTTTACTCCCTTGAACTAGTGATATCTTAACTACCAGTTTAAAGCAGAGGTATCAAAGGAAGCCAGTGATAATATGTAGTGTCACTGAATGAGAAGTTAATCTGTGTCTACAGAGATGTATGCTGCATGCCCAACGTATCGTGATAAAACACATTTGGGAACTGTTTCTTCTGCAAGGAAAGATTTTTTTTTTTTATACCAAACACTTTTATTGTATGTGAAGTGTTTTGATAAGACAACTGCACTATGTCTCCTGAAAGCCTGGTTTATTGACATTTATAGCAGTACTTGCTTCATGAGGAACAAATTGCTGAACTATTTTTCAAGTCATCTTCACACTGAATGAGAAGTTAATCTGTGTCTACAGAGATGTATGCTGCATGCCCAACGTATCGTGATAAAACACATTTGGGAACTGTTTCTTCTGCAAGGAAAGATTTATTTTTTTTTTATATACCAAACACTTTTATTATTTGTGAAGTGTTTTGATAAGACAACTGCACTATGTCTCCTGAAAGCCTGGTTTATTGACATTTATAGCCGTCCTTGCTGCATGAGGAACAAATTGCTGAGCTATTTTTCAAGTCGTCTTCAGATCCTGGAGATATACAGAAAGATAAGGGAGACTGAAACCACAGGGGAAAGAAATGGTAGTAAACCTGCTTCAGACCTTCCTGCAGTGTGAGCCAAAGTCCCTTGCTGACCCTGCCCATGTCTCGGTACAATTAGTTCTCTTCTGCTATTGCAAATCTGACCCCGAGTTCTTTCTCACACCGAGCAGAAAAACACTGGAATGAAGATTATGCAAAAAGCCATTTTACCATCAAAAAACCCAAATTTCTCATCACCTTTTTTGGCTTGTCAGCACTTTGCAGGCCAGTATTTTGGTGATAGTCACAGTATGAAGCCTAGGTAGTCTATGAGCAGTTTTCCCTTCTAGGTCTAGGCTTGGAAAGAGATGATCCATGCTTTAGGATAAAACAGGACAAGACAGACAAAAACCTATTCAATCCTTGTATTCCTGAAAAGTTATTACCATAATTCTGTGTGAGCAGTTAATAAGAGAATCTGTTAATTACATATTTTTCTATCTGATAATAAGTTACAGCAGCCTAGACAACCTATGATATGTATAATAGATACTAGAATTTGGCATAATTACAGCACAGTAAAATAAAATAAATGCACAGTATGATGAGAGTTTCAATGTAAGAAATGTACAGTATTGTGAGAGTTTCTTCTTAAATTCCCGGTGTATTTTCTTCTTCCTTCTCAGTAATGTGTTCACAGATAAAAACAGCTAGGACATCTTCTGTTGGGAAGTTAGTGGACTTGCATGTCTTCAGCTGACTTTTGTGTTTCTCCTACAATATTTCTACCAATGACTTTCTTTTCATACATGAAGGGACACAGGGTCAAGGAGGAACTGTTTCTTTGAATAATTCAAAGTAATTCAAACTCACTGTGTAGTGTCAGTAGTGTTATTCATGGTTATGGTTCGTGTGGGAGTGGGAACAGGTTGAGGGTTCTTTTGTACAAAAAATTACATACTTACAGATACTGTGTTAGGATATATGCAATTAAAACAACAACTAAGTTATATCTGGAAGGACAATGACTAAATGTTTTATTTTTAGATATGTCAAGAGTATTTTCTATTTGTTTCTATTGTTAATTTGGTAATTAGGTGCTTATAGTGAAGTATAAGAAAAGGAAGAGAACCTGTTTGAATACCGTAGATGATGGAGTGTATAAGGAATCTCCCAGCATCCCCATTTAGACTTTGCATTTACAAACAAAACAAAACAACAATAAAGCCAAAACCCAAAAACCTAAGCAAAAGCTAAACATACAATATGTGTATAAAGAGCACGAGCTCTGCATTGTAGAGCAGTGAGCACCTGATTTGCAGTCCCTGAAAAGCAAACCAGGCCATCTGCTTTGTATCAGCACGGCAGATACTGCCTTCTGGAGTCAAAGCTTTATCCAGACAAAGGTGTGAAGAGGACTTCATTGGAGAAACAGTGTGAGAAAGAAGATCAAAGGCTTATCTTAAAAGAGGAGTATTATTCATGTAGTCTTAACCTACTGTTAAAATTGAAAAGAATGTGTATTAGCCTTTCCCTTTGCTGGTCCAATCCTGCTACTTTCACTGTGTCTGCATGTGCAAACATGCTGAGACCTTGTGCAGAAGTCAGTACAGGAACGATAAATTGCTTTAATCCTGCTCACACTCTCAACAGGGACCTGCAGTGGGATGTGAGATGTGTTGGCCTTGCTCTGGCTCTCCGCCCAGGTGCAAATCCCTTTCTGAGCAAGTGACATTGGATTGTCAACAAGATACCACATTCATCAAAAGCTTGTGGCATATTTTCTCATTTCTCTTGCACACAAACAAATTCAGACTTCAGAGTCCATTTGATATGAGATCAGCTTCAATAATTCAGGTCAACAATTAACATTTACCTGTAATTTTTCTTTATGTGTTTCTTTAAAGGATTAGCAACATGGATTTTGCTGTCAGAAGAGAAGATGTCTAGCACAGCTGCAATTCTGACTTTCTGGGAAGTGCTGGTGGCCTGCATTTACAGTAAACATAGAAAAGAGGTCTGGTAGCAGGGCACAGTGCATTTGCATGACAGAACTGAAACATAACCCTGCCTTTTGAACATGGCCATTCTGCTGGCAAGGTCACGGAGAGCTGTGAAATGATCTGGGAGCTGAGCCCCCCAAGAGGCTTGCTTCCATTTCCTTACAGGAATACTGCCAGAGAGCAGTGTTTTAAATCTAATGATAACACAGAAAAAATGTCCTTTGCCTGCTTCAGGTGTTTGAAGGTCAACATCCTCTTTGTTTTAAGAAAACTACAAGTCCTGGCCTAGCCTAGTGCTACAGTGAAGGAGCTATTTTCCTTTAAGTATTCATTTCTGAAAACATTTCTGGACAACGGAGTTTAGGGTGCAAGTAATATTGAAAAGTCCATTCTGATCAAATGTTTCCAAAAAAATTTTAAAAGGCAGAAGGACTCTCACTTATTTGATCTGAAATGATCTGTACATAGCATGGGGCATTCCCCAGTAATTTTTGCTCAGACTTTTGGTGCTGATTCTACCCCTGAGGTAAGCCAGAGTCCAGGACTGTTCTCACTCATGTCTGTCTGGAATGGTCTGCCTGTACATTCATTGTTCTTTGAAGATTACCACTGTCTTTTTCAAGCTGCAGAATAGCCCAGCGGAGACACAAAGGGTGACTCGAAAATGCATGCTACTCACATCATTGCTGCTAGTTTCTAACTCAGCAGAGGCATAGATGTGTTTCTCAGAGTGGAGAATGTTATTTCAGTTACTGACACTTCTGAGGCAGTTTTGCATGAAACACTGAACAGGGCGGAAACTTTCACTTTGAGCAAAAAAACAATTTTAATAGAGCCTACATACCTGTACTATTTCATGTCTGTCCCTTCCTACAGCTCTCCCAGAGCAAACATGCAATTCCCCAAAGTGATGATGGCCAAAAAAGGAGATTCAGTTAACTGTGAAAGTGTGTTTTCAACAAAAAACCTGTAACAACGGAGCTCTTGAACAACAACATGGGAAAAAATCAGACTGTCAAGTTGCTGCAGAGGAACATCTTAACAGAGCAGGATATCTCAGAGGAAAGGCACAGAAAAGGACATTAAGACTTTTTACTGCCAAAAGTTCTTGTGTGCTGCAGAGGAACATCTTAACAGAGCAGGATATCTCAGAGAGGCACAGAAAAGGACATTAGGACTTTTTACTGCCAAAAGTTCTTGTATTTTGTTCACCTCTTTGCTTTGGCAAGCTGCAGGCAAACTGGAGAACACAGCACAGACCCGGCAGGGTCAAGAGGGACTTCCAGCTCTCCCATTAAAGCAGTGTGTAAGGTCCATCAGGTAAGCCAATATCTGTGTAAACATGTGGTAATAGCTACACATGGGGCTATCAGGGCATCACCTTTGTGTTTGTTTACCTGAGGCAAGTTCTCATAGGGATGACCAGAACATTCCTACAATGAGCAGAAACACACAAAACCTTGAAAACTGTTTGAAAATGTCAAAACACTCATGTTCAATTTGTGAAACTCACACTTCTTGGAAAAACTTCTCTTAGGGGGAAGAAGGCAGTTTTCCTTTTATGCTTGCACGTAGTACATTCTTGATCTGACAAGACTTGCAACCACAAGAGAGCACTCTTTCCTTTGAAGATGTCTCAGCTTCCCCAGAAAGCTACAGATATGCCATATAAGTTTTGCAAACTGCATGTGAGCTGGTTCAGTTAGACCAGAGCAGCCGAAACAACAAAGCTTGCAGTTGTCTTTTGGATTTCATTGTGAAAAGCCTTTGGGTAGTTTTTAGATGACAGAAGATCCTTGGTTCCTGAAAGTGAGGAGTTCTGCCAAAACTTTGAAGATCCCTGTAAACTTTGCAAATTACCCATCTTTTGGAGACAATTATATCAAACGGTATCATGGATTACAATACATGAGAAGTGTTTAGAGCCTGGAAGATTATTTATGTTTGGCATTAACTCTTATGGTCATAATTTCAAGTGGAGAGAAAAGGAATACACAGGAACCCTCTTATTATCTTTTGAAATATGAAGATCACAGGAAAAGAAGGGTTTAAATTGGGGAGTGATGGTCCTCAAAACCTGTCTGTACATTAACTGGCATCCTACACCTATAAAAGCAGCAAGGCTTTCCAGGCACAGTATGGACCTCATGAGCTGTCAGCTTTGTTTTGAGATCTGAGTTTTTATACACCACAGGAGGAAACTGCAGCTTGTGGGGCAGGGTGCCTATACAAATGTTGGATTGATACATTGGGAGCCAAATTCAGGAACTAACACTCCACTGGTGAGGAAAAAAAGAAGCATGGACAGCACTAAAGATGATGATAAACTACTGAAGAGGATTACATTTCCAGGAGCTGTGTCCCTGGCTAACAGCCACATGCACCCCCACGGGGTACCCCTGAGAGAGCCCTTTGGTGTTCCCTTCCACCTGGACCCATCTTACTGGGAGCAAGCCTACAGTGGGCACACAGGTGGCATCCCCTACATCCCATTTCCTGGCTACGTGGGCATCTATGACTATTCCTTCGAGCCTGCCTTCATTCGGAAGAGGAACGAGAGGGAGAGGCAGCGGGTGCGCTGCGTCAACGAGGGCTACACGCGCCTCCGGCAGCACCTGCCCAAGGAATTTGCTGACAAGCGCCTCAGCAAAGTGGAGACCCTCAGAGCTGCAATAAGCTACATCAAACACCTGCAGAGCTTGCTGGACTGCCATCCCTTAGGCTCTTCCAGTAAGGAAACGCTGTCTGCCAAGGAGAGCCCAGGAACTCCCAGTCCAGCTTCCCCGCGGGAGTGCAACAGCGATGGAGAGTCCAAAACTTCTTCAGCGTCATCCCCCTACAGTGAATTTGAGGAGACAGGCAGCTAGGTCTCTTCTCTGGACACAGAAAGCTTCAAGATTGGCTGAAAAACAATTTCAAGCCCTGGGGAATTTTCTACAGGTGAAAATTAATATCGGGGAAAGGAAAAACAGATAGGGAAGGCAAGAAAAAAGGTATTTTCAATCTGTCAAAGGACTTTAAATGTTTGCTGTATAAAACTTAAAAGTGATTTGTAAACAGATTTCTCCCAGGTTGCTTCAGCTGTGTTACTAAGCTTCCTTTGGACTGTTAAACTGGAGCAACATTTGCATTCTACTTTTCATTCAGTTTTTATTATGTGCTATTTTCTTTTGCCTTTCACTTGAGACAGTAAAACCAGATAAATCCATTTTGGGGAATTCCCCATCCCTTTCTCCTGCTTTGTCCAGTGAGTTTTACTGTCTGTTTTTCCAGACTGCTAACCTGAGATGCACTGCACGGCAAACATTTGGACTGGGGGAGGTGAGATTTAGATAAATATCTTTCCCTAAATATTTCAGAAAACTCACAGAAATATTTCTATTTATGAAACAACAATTTTTTAAACAAAAACAAGGCTATATTTTGAAATTAATTTCTTTTGAAGCATCTTCTAAAGTGAAAGAAACAGCTCATACACTGGACACTGGCTGTTTCATGATTATTATAAGAATAATTTTCAGGAAAATAAAGCTGGACACTCATTCCAGTCAATGCTAGGAAGAGGGATACAGACTTCTGTAAAACTGCACCTTCAAAAACTAAGCTTCACTCAAGGTACTGAAAAAATGAAAGCCTTTTCCCTACTTTTCTGAAATCTGAGTTCATGGACAAAATAGTCTTGATTGTGTCTTTGGCAGGTCAGAAATTAAATGCTTAGAAATAGAACCTGTAATGGTAAGACACTGCTGTGTACAAAAAAGGAAATGTTGAATATATTGGTTTACATCTGCATGAAAATGTAGGTATTTCTCCTTTTGTTTAGAATATTGTATTACCTTTTCAAAGGACACTGCTTTTAAAATTAATACCTCAAAATATGTGGAATACCTTTAATTTGGATTGCATCTACTTAAAATGAGAATTTCTCTCCAAATTGTTTTCAAATCTGCCTTTCTCCAAGGCTTAAATCCCATTCTAAATAGGGGGTAAACTTTTTACCTGTCCACTTTCAACACACCTTTCAAACTTGTGTTTTTTTGGCCTTGTGTTGATGAAATGGTTTGGTAGAATTTCTCTCCAAATTGTTTTCAAATCTGCCTTTCTCCAAGGCTTACATCCCATTCTGAACAGGGGTAAACTTTTTGCCTGTCCACTTTCAACACAACTTTCAAACTTGTGTTTTTTTGGCCTTGTATTGATGAAATGGTTTGGTGTATTTTTGTCTTTCCTTCGTGTCATGCTGACTGAACACTTGAAAAAGTACTCATGTATAAATAAGAAGAAATACTGATCAAATACCTCAAAATGTGTCCATAAATTTCCTTTAAATAAAAAAAAAAGTAAGTTATTCTGGCTGTGTCTTTTTCACTTTCCCTGAAAAAATATTCATGTATAAATAATAAGAAATACTGATCAAATACCTCAAAATGTGTCCATAAATTTCCTCTAAATAAAAAAAATGTAAATTATCCTGGCTGTGTATTTTTCATTTTTAATTGATAACAAACAGGACAGCTCTGGTTGCAGGAGTACGGGAGTAATAACTTCTCAGGAAAAATAGAGAAAATGGAAAGGGATTAAATATGAACTGCCACCTATAAAACTATTTTTTTAATCTAAATTTTAAAATTTAGCTAAGGAGCAGGTTTGTGTTTTGGGCATCTAATAAAAATTATTTGGTATAAAAATACTCTGCTTCTTTCTAGGAGACTATTCTAGGAGACTATTCTTAAGCTCCAATACTCTGCTTCTTTCTAGGAGACTATTCTTAACAGTTGTACACTTTAAGCTCCGGTGTCCATGGCAGTCACGGGTGTTCTTTACTCTTTACACGGGAGGCAGCTCCATTTTCTAATGATTATTTTGTTTCTCTGAGGGCTGTTACTTTTGCAGAGGCTGTTTGCCAGACTCAAAAATTGAGATTACCTGGACAGTTCAGATCCAGAGCCAATGCACTCATTTCCAGCTGTGCAGTGTTTGTATTTCTCACCCAAGAAAGAAGAGGACAGCAAGGTAGAGGTCCAAATGTCTGATTGGGTTCCATTGTTCCTTGGCTTTTCTTTTTTCTTTGTGTTCCTCTGGCAAGAAATTCAACCTGTCTCTCTCTTTGACTCAGTTTTGAGATTTCTAGAAATGTGGTATTGCTGCTGGTAATTCTGTGAGTAAGCCTGAACTGCATTTCTCCCTCAAAGCAGAGATTAAATCTGTTATCTATAATAAGCATACGCTTCCTCAGAGTACCAGAAGCAGATTCTGTGAAATATACATGTATATTCTGTGAAATATACATCTTCAGATATAATGACAGTAAGTGATATAATGAAAATAAATAGCCAAATCAAAACAAACCAAATCATTAAAAATAAAAATTGCCAGAGTCACCATTACTTCCTGGGCAGGACACATCATATAAGGCCATCGATGAATTTTGAGGTCAGATTGCTATCACAGTGGTCTGACCCTGACAGATAAATATCCAGGAGCCTGAGTCCTCTGATTCCCAAACCTCAGAGATGGTGCACTGTGCCACCTTCTCATGAGCAGCTGGCTGGAGAAGGTGACCAGGCTGTGACTCTGCCCCTTTTCATCTCTCAGGTGGAATGTTCCTAAAGGGTTCCATCTAATGGAGTGGAAATTATCCCACCCTGGCCCTCTACTTGGCCACCCCTGCTTTAGGCTGTCTAGCAACTTTTGTTTAGACTATATATCTTTAACAGCTCTGGAGATGTCCTTAAAATACCTCCCAATCCAACCTCACTGCTGAAGATGCAAAAAACAAGAATGCCACATGTATTTTAATTTACTTTTATAAAAGGAAATTATTTTCTGACTGAAAAGGAAATTCTTTCTGTGGGGAAAAATCTGTCACAGATTTAACTTGAGGAAAGTTTCGCGTTTTTATTTCTCACAGTTCTTGTTATTACTCAAACCTCTTGCACAATTTTAGCACAAGCAAGTGAAAAAACCCAAGATTTCCTAAATATTGGTGCTTTTGTCAAGGCATCAGCAAAGGTTTAAAGTGAATGCCACATTTCAAAAGCTTTATTAAGCTGTTTCTGTCTAGACAAAGGGTTTTTTCAGAGCTTCTAAAGTGTATCATTATCAGACTTTAAAGCAGACAATGATCCAACTTGTCACCATGAAAATTAAAGCTTTAATAAAAATGTTGACCAGAAGAATTCTCTCCACGTGGGACAATTAGTATTTACAAGAAAGGTGAATGCTGCTATCTGTAGGCAGCCATGCTACAGCTTTATCCAGCCCTTGCACACCAAAAGCAGCCACTTTAATCTTTCTATCAAATCTGGAAAAAACAGACATCTGAAGTCTTCCCTCTGCTGCCATTAAATTACAAATCCATTTGGTTCTTGATATTATCAGCATTTTGAAGATGTGTTATCCCGGCCATGGCATTGCTTTTAATCCTCTAATAGCTGTTTAGCTGATTTCTTTGTAAAAGCCCATCCACAATCCTTTCATGTTATATTACCCTGTGTCAATAATGTGGCCAAAGAAAACCAGAAGGCACTGTAGAAAAGTCATGTTCAGACAGTAAAGCAATCAGGGCCAATTTATCTCACTGGAATAAATGAGCAGGGAATGCACACACACACACACAAAGAGCATCTTTGAAAACATCTGTCTCCAGCATACTTAGGCAGGATGCAAAACAAGATCCAAAACATTTTGAAGAGAGACTCTGAATAGGTACCAGCAGGAGAGCCCTGCTGAAGTAAGCTGAGGTAAGTGCAATAGCTGAGTAAGCTCTTAGTAAGCCTCTCCAAAATAGTCTAAGCAAATACAACTTCAGCAGGTGCTTCTCACTAGTAAACCCCATTCTCCATCACCTGAAGGTGTGCTTGTTAGTAAAGATCCACTGTGAATTCTCACTCATGTATTTCCCATATGATTCTTACACAATTTCTAAGGTAGAAATTATTTTCCACCTTATTGTGACTATATCTACTAAGAGAGCAGTGGAAAAGTTCTTCAGGTTGCCTTTGCAGAGAGAACAAGTTAGAGTGAAGACAACCTTGAAAATTTTGGAGACCCCTCAGCTCATTTCTGATACAACTGGAGATAGAGGAGTCAAAGGCATGAAATTCCTACACACTCCATGAGCACTGGTGGCACCAGAGCAGAAAAAAGTGCCAATGTAGAGTCCCTAAAGAGGGGAAAGCTAACTCTACCTCACATGATGGTCAGCCAGCCCATGGGCACCAGCCAGCTGTGAGCAGGCACATGTGCTTTGTGTCACCTCTTGCCTGTTTTACTGGAGCTAGTTAGAAAAAAAAAAAGTATTTTGAAGTGTTTTTTTGGGGAGGGGAAAGCTACATGAATGGTCTGTGGGAGGCTGAAATGTTGAGAATGTGGGGAAGGTAGCGGGCAGTGAAGCCTTGGAGCTAATACAGCACAAAGCCAAGCCAAGCTGCATCTACTGTGCTGTCACAAAGCATCTTGCTTGTCCCCATGATTTCGTTTTGATGTGGTGTGGTTTTGGGCAAACATAGCAGATTTTTGTGTTCCAGGGCTATAAGATGTCAGCACCAAATCCTAACCAATCTCTTCCATCTGCACTGAGATCACAAAGAGAACAAGTAGTTACAAATAAAGGGAATTTTCACATCTTTTCATGTAGGCACTTTACTGCAGCATTTTGCTATGCGAGGCTGCTCTCTTGATGTAGCTTTTTAAATGCAAAAAGCACTGAAGAAGTTCCAGGCTCAGCTGCACACAGCTCATCCCTAGGGATCACTCATGCAGAGGCGATGTGTGCATCCCCACACCCAGAGGCATGAAAGCACACTGGGGCTTCACCAGTGAAACTGATAACAAACTGTAATGTGTAAATGAAATAAGCCAGAGG